TATATTAATATATATATATGAGGGGAGGACAGCGAGGTGTTTATATGAGGGGAGGACAGCGAGGTGTTTAGATGAGGGGAGGATGGCAAGGTGTTTATATGGGGGAGGACAGCGAGGTGTTTATATAAGGGGAGGACAGCGAGGTGTTTATATGAGGGGAGGAGGGCGAGGTGTTTATATGAGGGGAGGACAGCGAGGTGTTTATATGAGGGGAGGATGGCGAGGTGTTTATATGAGGGGAGGACAGCGAAGTGTGTATATGAGGGGAGGAGGGCGAGGTGCTAAAATCTGTTATCAAAGTAATATTTTCCTCTCTATCATGTTTGATCCACTTCAGCTTACTAATTCTCCTAATTTCTTTTCTAAATTTGTCAAACCAGGCCCGTAGCTAGGTATTTTTCCAGAAAAGTTTAAAATTTGAACTAAAAACAGGATTTTAATAATAATAGTTTGTTTTATGTCTATGGTAAATTATCAATTTTTTTGTTTATAAAGAAGACACGTCGAAAAATGCTTCGACGCAGAACTTAATCTGGTAAATTTGTACCCAGTCTTGAGCTTGAAATTGAGACTGGGATGCTGGAATATAACGAGGTTGGAATGCTGGAAAATGATGAGTCTGGGATGCTGAATATAACGAGGTTGGAATGCTGGAATATGATGATGCTGGGATGCTGGAATATAACGAGGTTGGAATGCTGGAATATAATGAGGCTGCAGGATGCTGGAATATTATGAGGCTGGAATGCTGGAATATAACAAGGTTGGAATGCTGGAATATGATGAGGCTGGAATGCTGGAATATAACGAGGTTGGAATGCTGGAATATGATGAGGCTGCAGGATGCTGGAATATTATGAGGTTGGAATGCTGGAATATAACGAGGTTGGAATGCTGGAATATAACGAGGTTGGAATGCTGGAATATGATGAGGTTGGAATGCTGGAATATGATGAGGCTGGGATGCGGATTTTAGTGGCTCGCTTCCTCTCATGTATTTTCCAGAATTCAAGATTCCGAGGGGGGAGATTGAACCACGAGCAGAGTATAATCAGAATCTAAAATTAAAAAATTATTTGATTTACAATATTCATATTTCGAATCCATTTCTTATTTTAGCTATGTTTGCGCGCAAATAGAACAAGATTAAAGAATAAGTCGCTTTTTAAGTTATGACAAAGATAATAATTTTTAATAATATGAATTGAAGAAGAACATTTTTAAGCCCACAAAAGATGATCCTTCAATTATGACCTACTATTAAAATGTCTAGATCTAGATATTTAATTCTCCCTTTCGCCTTAAACATAGTTTCTTTTACATACAGTATATTAATACAATAAAGAGAACTTTTGATTTCAATTTTGATTTCGAACAATGTTTAAACATGGATGCACATATTCATGGAAACAATGAAAAGCTATCAAAAAAACGTAATTTCTTTAATAATTTTAAATTACTTGTAATTCGAAAAAAGTTCGTAAAAATCAAAACTTGAATAAAAATGTCATCTTTATTGTATTGATATAAACGTTGTTAGAGTCGGCACACTCTAAAAAGCTCACTGTATGTAAATGAAATATAGAGTTGTATTTTCTTTATTCACACTCATTCTATCCACATATTCAGCTTCAGAACGTACTAATATAAATCACAAGTTGATAAAAGAACTAGAAACAATAAGAATAAAAGATTAAACCAGTAAATACTAAATAACCATTTGTTTTATTTAAATGTTAGCTTAAGAGCCCAAACGGATTGGACCGAATTGGCTGATTTTTTTGAGGGAACCCATGGTTTCCCCACGGGAATAACAGGCTAAAAAAATAGTCTTTTTCCTTTTTAAATTCAACTTTCTAAAATTCCACGACCACGGGCAACGCCGGGCACTTGAGCTAGTAGTTTATATTTTGTTATTTTTAACCTGAATTGCTAAAGGTCCAATATATCCTAGGATTTTTTCTCCGAACTGGGATTCAAACGAACTCTTAATAATTTTTCCTAAATAAAATTAATCTGTACAGCCGGACCCATAAAACAGTAGTGAAGGAAGACTACTGTTAAGTTATTATTTTAAACAGCCCAATGAACATGTAACACAGAAATTGTGCACTGAACACAAAACTGTTTCACTTAATACGGTAACTTTAAGTTGCTATGTAAAATACAGATAAAATTGCTTAATTTTTTTTCCAAACACCAATTGCTTGAATACAGGCACCATGTCCAGTGTAATATTTTTTCTTATCTTTTTATACATTCTTGATATGATCCGAAATTCTTGTTTGAGAACTCAACAAATATTCTTAAAGATGACAGTTTGCAGTGTGCAGTGTGGACAGATTGAATAGATTTCACATTATTTCAAGTTTAAAGATTAAACCCGGCTTAATCTGCAACCACCACAAAGTTTTAAGTATTTTAGAAACGGAGGTTTTAAAAACTTTCCATCTTAGAAAAAGAAAGTTTGCTTGGTTGTCATTTTTCTTATCATAAAAGGATTTAATGTATTTTCCATGTTTTATTTATAATGCATTCGCAGAGCATCCGATATACATCATGAACTACCGTAAACGTGTTTAGGCCAAAATAATTCATTTTCGACACAAACTTTGATTTTATTATCCCTACATCTTTGCAACGTCCGGTGTCGAATAAAACTTGAAATTCTAAACTATGAATTTTGTTAGATCAAAAAGTCTCATTATATCAGAGGTTTGAACCACAACTATGATCCCTTGTATACTCCTGAGTTCTAACCTAAATCTACAACTATGATCCCTTGTATACTCCTGAGTTCTAACCTGCTAAATCTACAACTATGATCCCCTGTGTACTCCTGAGTTCTAACCTGATAAATCTACAACTATGATCCCCCGTATACTCCTGAGTTCTAACCTGATAAATCTATAACTATGATCCCCTGTATACTGCTGAGTTCTAACCTGATAAATCTACAACTATGATCCCCTGTATACTCCTGAGTTCTAACCTGATAAATCTACAACTATGATCCCCTGTACTCCTGAGTTCTAACCTGATAAATCTACAACTATGATCCCCTGTATACTACTGAGTTCTAACCTGATAAGTCTACAACTATGATCCCCTGTATACTCCTGAGTTCTAACCTAAATCTACAACTATGATCCCCTGTAAACTCTTGAGTTCTAACCTGATAAATCTACAACTATGATCCCCTGTACTCCTGAGTGCTCCTGGAGACGGTGTAAGGTTTCCTCCAGTTCAACTCCACACTTTAAACAATGAAACGAAATATCAAGGTTGGGACTGGATAAAGCAAGGTTAGGTAAGGCCATAAGAGAATTTTGTACCCAGAATACACCAAATTGCGTTCTATACATGAACTCATTTTCGGTGGCTGTACAATTCTATATTGTTTTTTTTTTGTAAACAAACCCAACCAAAACTGGACTTGGACCAAAATATGAAATTAAACCCAGTATTCAAACCTTTCATTATTAGATTTATAAATCTGGAGACGTATGCATTACATCGGTGCTAGCAACGTTGTGTCTCCTTTTCTGGAAAAAACAAAAATTCCAACTCCCCTCTATTCCTGGGCAACTCCCCCCCCCCTCTCATGTCGAAGGTGTAAATTGTTGTTTCGACATAAACCGCTAAACTAGTTTAGTGTATTCCAGAATAAAGGAATTGAGTCTTTACCACAAACTTAAATTTTCAAACCTCTATATCTTCAACCTAATAGCGAAATCCTTTGATATTTCAAACTTAGACTATTTGATCTAACAGAATTCATAGTTTGAAATATCTAAGGTCTACACCATTTATTTAAGTAGATATACAAATTAGAAAATATGATTTTGTTGCAAAAACTCATTTCCTTTGTGTTCAGTAAATAAATTCAATTCTCTTATGTTCTACCGTTGGGATAAAGTAAATTCCGTTAACGAACCTACGGAAGTTGTTGACAGCTAACAAACGAAATAAACAGTTAAAATATTTTTATAAACGAAAAGGTTGACTTTTACGATTTTCTAAAATTCACGAATTGAAACAGAAAAATCCGTAAACTTTTTGGTTTATCGGGAGAAAGTTTAAATAGCGACTTGAAAAACAACAATGTCATGCTAAAATTGTACAAGAAATAAGCACGAAGAGCCCTAACAGTCAAGTTTATCTTACTGGGCTTCCAAGGGGGATATTTCAGTATTAAATTCAGATAAGTTTGGAATAAATTTTTTTTGATGAGGATTGGGTAATGATTATTTTTAGAAAATTTTATGAAAGTTTTATGATTTGAGATTTTAACTGAAACGTGTACGATTTTCATTAATTTTTATATTTTTGAAGAAATTTTACTTACTCGATTACTCAACTTATTAAACTCAGAGTTAGTCGAGGCCATTTTGAATTTACTTTAAAACCAACAGATTAGATAAAGTTACATTAAAATCTAGAACTTTTTTAAATCATCGATTCTTTAACATTTAATGACTCAGCTCTTTCTTCGTGAATTTCTATGAATTTGAAGATTTCAATTTTTATTGTAAAGTTAATTTGTTTTTGGCCCAAAGTGAAGATTTCAAAGTGTCGGAGTAAAACTTTTCTCGTTTTTTAGTTTTGGGGGGCTCGCTGACAATTTAAATCTAAAGATATTTCCTTTCACATGATGTGCATTTTATTACTGCAAAGTTTTATTAAAGTTTGTCAGACGACACTTGTATTCTTGATGACTGTAAACCTCGTACTAATTATGTTTGGGTGGAAAACTGTTTGTAAACATTGATCAAACCAGTTTAATTATACCTGGCAGTATAATCAGACCCGTACTATAAATACAGCAGGAGGGGAAATTAACTTTATTTACTTTTCCCCAAAACTAATTTATTTATTTTTAACTCATGGTAAAGGTTAAGAAGTTTGTTATTATCTATGCATTAGTCTTCAACAACAATACAAATTAAAAAGCAAGGAAATTAATGCGCCAATAATCAAAATGTCAAAATAAGTGTAGTTTTTGGGAGGAATGTAAACAAACATCGGCCTGCAGGTCATAGTTTCTGGGAGGAATGGAAACAAACATCGGCCTGCAGGTCAAACTGTGTAGTTTCTGGGAGGAATGTAAACAAACATCGGCCTGCAAGTCAAGCTGTCTAGTTTCTGGGAGGAATGTAAACAAACATCGGCCTGCAAGTCAAACTGTTTAGTTTCTAGAAGGAATGTAAACAAACATCAGCCTGCAAGTCAAACTGTGTAGTTTATGGGAGGAATGTAAACAAACATCGGCCTGGAGGTCAAACTGTGTAGTTTCTGGGAGGAATGTAAACAAACATTAGCCTGCAGGTCAAACTGTGTAGTTTCTGGGAAGAATGTAAACAAACATCGGCCTGCAGGTCAAACTGTGTAGTTTATGGGAGAAATGTAAACAAACATCGGCCTGCAGATCAAACTGTGTAGTTTCTGGGAGGAAGGTAAACAAACATCGGCCTGCAGGTCAACCTGTGTAGTTTCTGGGAGGAATGTAAACAAACATTGGCCTGTAGGTCAAACTGTGTAGTTTCTGGGAGGAAGATAAACAAACATCGGCCTGCAGGTCAAACTGTATAGTTTCTGGAAGGAATGTAAACAAACATCAGCCTGCAGGTCAACCTGTGTAGTTTCTGGGAGGAATATAAACAAACATCGGCCTGCAGGTCAAACTGTGTAGTTTCTGGAAGGAATGTAAACAAACATCGGCCTGCAGGTCAAACTGTGTAGTTTCTGGAAGGAATGTAATCAAACATCGGCCTGCAGGTCAAACTGTGTAGTTTCTGGGAGGAATGTAAACAAACATCGGCCTGCAGTTAAAACTGTGTAGTTTCTGGGAGGAATGGCCTGCAGGTCGAACTGTGTAGTTTCTGGGAGGAATAAATGTAAACAAACATCGGCCTGAAGGTCAAACTGTGTAGTTTCTGGAAGGAATGTAAACAAACATCGGCCTGCAGGTCAACCTGTGTAGTTTCTGGGAGGAATGTAAACAAACATCGGCCTGCTGGTCAAACTAAAGAAAATTTGAAATTTTTTTTATATTTTTACTAATAACTCCACTGATTGAAGAGATATTGAGAAGAACAAAAATGTTTTGAATTTCTAATATTTCTATTATCATACTTCTGCGAAACTAGAGAAGCTGCGAGCTCACAAAGTCGTACCTGTGATATCGCATATATTTTACCTTCTCCTTCCCCCTAGTTTGTAGTACTTGAGTATCACTGAGTTTGTTTACATTCCGACTAGAACTTGCAGTACACTTCTTGATTAAACCAAAGAAATTAATAAATAGAAAAAAGAAAGAAAGAAACGATGCTCCAGTTACATTAAAATATATAAACATCATAAAGAAAGAAAGAAACGATGCTCCAGTTATATTAAAATATATAAACATTATGCAGAAAATAGAATAATATGGTGGTTTTACGCCTTTTCAAATAAATGCAGCTTAATTTATATATTTTCTTGACGATAAATAAATTTTTGTCAAAGAACATTATTTTTGGCAGAATTAAAACTTAAAAATTGAATGAAAAAGGCAAATATAATTTACGTGGCCTATCCTAGAACTTGACAGTAATAAAGCATGAGATTTTTATTCTAAGGTGCAACTCTTTTTAACTCTTCTATATATCAAATATCATCTTGAAAATGTTAAGAAATTATGCGAAATTAACATCTTCAATCTAATGAATCTATTAAACTAAAAAGAACTATTGCATCTGAAACATAATTCTTTGCGGGCAACCTTGAATAATAAGTGATCTGAAATTGATTCTAAATCTGAAGCATTAAAGCTCCGCTTAATTAAAATTAATTTGTCATCTTACCGATCCCTTCTCTCTCATACCTCAGAAGTTTGAATTCTCTTAACCCCCCCCCCCCTCTCTACCCTTTCTCCTCCAATATATATCTGTATGAAGGGGTTCCTTCTACATGATTTATGTGACGAGGGGGGGAGGGTAAACCAAAACAACGCCTTCATCCGAGCCACCTCATAGACTTTCCTTGTAATCTTTAAGCAGAAGAGGTTAAGATTTTTGATAGATTTTATTCTGCGTAGTTCGGGAAGAGTGTTTCATCCAGCTAGTGAATTGGCGAATAAACTAACATAATTTAAAACACGCATTTGTAATTTCTATCAGAGTTAGTAGGATAAAACAGGGTTTTAATAAGTTCATCAATTTGAAATTTTGAAATTTCGAAATGAATTTTTATCGACTAGTTAGGCCAGACATTTCAATTCTGTTTCTTTTTAATTCATAATATGGTCTCTCTGCGTGGTTCGGAAGTATGATTAATGCGGCTTGTCCTTCCTGTCTTCTCTGTGTGGTTCGGAAGTAGGATTGAAGCGGTTTCCCTCATTGTCTTCTCTGTGGGGTTCGGAGGAAAGATTGAAACGGCTCGCACTCCTCGTCTTCTCCTTAGGGTTCGGAAGAAAGATTGAAATGGCTCGAACTCATTGTCTTCTCTGTGGGGTTCGGAAAAAAGATTGAAATGGCTCGCACTCCTTGTCTTCTCTGTGGGGTTCGGAAGAAAGATTGAAACGGCTCGCACTGCTTGTCTTCTCTGAGAAACCTTGATTTGATGAATTAGGGAGAAATGAATCCCTGCATTACTTGGAATAGAACTGAGAGGCTAATATCAACTCAGTTTCTTCAGAATCCGTCTTTCAATTAGAAAATTAAAAATTATTCGTTTTAAATCAATAAATGCACAGAATTACCCAAAATGATTGAGACTGTAAAGACGACCTAAAACTCTTTAAATCTGTCGAACCCAAAGATTACTAAGAGTCTTTTGCCTTGAAAATAATATTGAGGAATGTTTACAGTTACTTAAACCACTTTTACTAAGAAGAAAATTGATGGCTGGCTAATTACAGCTGATAAGAAATTTTAATCCCCCCCTTGTATATTTTGAGCATGAAGTATAATGAATGAGAGCTGAAAATGAACCAGGATAAAACGTATATCTGGCAATGATATAATATTATATTGAACCAATTCGTTTCCTTTTATCAATTTCACTTACAGAACTCAACTCTACTGGCAGATATAGAACTTATTATAATTTTTTATTAAAGAGACTCTGGTTGTAATTTCAACTGTAATTTTCACCAGATTAATGATGATGAAGATACCGTCGTTTTTCTAGCTTAGAACAAGCCCAATTCTCATAATTTCCTTCGTTATTTCTGAAGAATGCGCAAATTACGTTTTTAGAGAAACCACAATGGAAAATATTGCTCAAAGAAATCATGGATATCTTTTTTATTTTTATTCAGACTCTCTAAATGAAGTATTGGTTGAAATTACGTATACAGTCCCTTTTTTGTTTTGATGGTTGTAAAGTATCTACTATTGGAGTTTTTTATTCATAAGAATGCATATTGCATAATAAATGCGTCATTGCAGCCTGTAAACTGTAAACTGTAAACTGTAAACTGTAAACTGTAAACTGTAAACTGTAAACTGTAAACTGTAAACTGTAAACTGTAAACTGTAAACTGTAAACTGTAAACTGTAAACTGTAAACTGTAAACTGTAAACTGTAAACTGTAAACTGTAAACAATAAAAGTTTCTATGGCAAATCTTTATAAATATTTTATCTACCATTAGTTTACTCTATCAAGGACTATTGGAGAAGGATAATAAAACAGATTAAGTGCATATAATTCCCCAACCAGGGGAAAATATTTCTAATAACATATTTTTTTTGTTTATCAATAATTTTAAACAGGTTTTAAAAAAAAAAATTCGTAAAATTTTGCAAATATTTCTAAAAATTACGAGTTAGTTTTTTAATTGACATTAGAAAATTATTGATGATTTAGGGGGGAAGTAAGGGGGGGGGGGGGTTACTCTGATCTTGTATAGGATCAACGTTAGAAATCGTTTTGTGTAAAGGGGGGGGGGTAGGGAGAGGGAAAAACCAGGAACGGAAAACCAATCTAAATTTAATCTTGAACAAAACCAGGATTGGTTTCACTAACAAACCAATTTAGGGATTTCAGTAAAAACATTTAAAAAAGAATTTCTGCTTTTCACACACCATTTAGAAAAAATAAATGTTTTTCTTTATTTTTATCTACGGTACGTACTATGTACACATTTTTAAAAATCATTCATGATATCAAGCCGACTCTCAACTTGAAGGCCTGTGCTCTTTAAAAGACTTATCGACCAACTTACACTTTTCCGTTGGGACTCGATTGATGCGGATTATACTCTTCAAGACTGCATATAGCAACAGCAACAGCGCGCAGAAGATGGGGCTATAGCCTCCTGAAAATTATATTTAAACAATTACAAGCAATTTACAAGAAGTGAGAGGGGTTCTAAACCGTCATTAGATCTCACCAGAGTTGGCCTTTCATTTTCTATGAAAAGAGAATCAAGAGTCAGGATCAAGATCTAGAGGACTGGTTTTTATGTCGAAGAATCTGAAGACCATCGATCATTTAAAACAACAACATTACTTTTTGTTTATCTTTGCAATTTTAAGGATTGAACTTTTGATATTTCAAACTTTGACAGTGCCTTCAGAAATAATCGTTTGTTTTTTCATAAGTTTTTATTTTTACGGGATTCAATGAATATGTTTGCATACCCAAAACAAGGTTTTTTGAAAGGATGCATTTTTTATGCCGAGAGTCATCAAGAATTAATAATAATTAACTTAACAACTGTCCTTGAAATAT